CTCAAACATAACACGGAGAACAGCAATCCAATCACTCTTGATGGCGAAACTCTGGAAGACGTGGAATCCTTCACATACCTGGGAAGCATCGTCGATAAACAAGGAGGTTCAGATGCAGACGTCAAGGCGAGGATTGGCAAAGCTAGAGCGGCATTCCTTCAACTGAAGAACATATGGAACTCAAAACAACTGTTTCTCAACCAATATCAAAGTCAGAATCTTCAATACGAACGTCAAGGCAGTCGGTTCTACTGTACGGAGCTGAAACGTGGAGAACTACAACAACCACCATCAAGAAGGTACAGGTATTTATCAATAGCTGTCTACGCATGATACTCAACATCCATTGACCGGATACCATCAGCAACAGCCTTTTGTGGGAGAGAACCAACCAGCTTCCAGCTGAAGAGGAAATTAGGAAAAGACGATGGAGTTGGTGGATAGGACATACATTGAGGAAATCATCAAACTGCATTACGAGACAAGCGCTAACTTGGAATCCTGAAGGGAAGCGGAAAAGCGGAAGGCCAAAGAACACATTACGTCGAGAAATAGAAGCAGATATGAAACGGATCGATAAGAACTGGAAAGAGCTTGAAAGGATTGCCCAGGACAGGGTTGGATGGAGAATGCTGGTGAGCGGCCTATGCTCCTTCACGAGGAGTAACAGGCGTAAGTAAGTAAGTAAGTAAGCTAAGTGAATAATGCAATGAGGTATGAAATAAAAGTACTAGGTTCAAGTCACGTAGTGAACATCAACTCAAATATATTTACATCCAGTTGACGAACTCTAAATAGGACAAAACACAAATCCTAGTTTCTACTGCTAGCTACTATCCATCTTTATTTATAATGGTTGAGATATTCACGCTATAAGAAATAAAAGTCATCTAAATTTCTAAATAATCATTTACAATTTTTTTTTTCTTCAATTTCCATCATTTTTATGATTGACATAAAAATCAATCGATATAGTTGTTTGTCTTTTTTTTTATTTTTTTTTATTTTATTTTTTTTTTTTTTTACCTAGACAATATATTGTCTAGAATTTTTGTCTGATTAATATGTATTCTAATAATGTATACGGCTTCTCACATGAACTCCGAGAATTCCATCATGAAGCTAATCACTTATGACCAGTGGAGCTAATCTATGTCGGGTAGAGATAGGTATCTACCTAAGTAAAAATGGAAGATAGTCATGTAATTTTATGGATTGTTTGAATTTAAACATTAACACCGCTGAATGCCGACTTACTGATCTAGAGATTAAGCATTTGCGCATGAGACTAAAGTCCCTGGGTTCGAATCCCGCGAGGTAGTGTCGTGGATGTCTACTGCTGAGGAGTCTTACAATAGGACGAAATGACCTTTCAGTGCTTCCAAGTTTTCCATGGTGATCTAACATCAATCGGTTCATCAACTCAATTAAAACAATCAAGAATTGTAAATTGATGCTTTCAAATATATTAACTTCAATTTGTTTTCTCAAACTAGTAGAAAATATCACTCGGTATTGTTTTACTTGAATCTACCCATTGATGTTTAGGACTGCAACTGATCAGTCTCTTATTGGTATATGTGCATACGATGCTTGTAAATTAACACAATATCGAGGCAATAAGCACAGTATGCACATATGCCAATAAGAGACTGATCAATTGCAGTCCTAAACATCAATGGGAAGAATTCAAGTGGTTAACAGGACTCCGTAGCTAAGTGTATATTTCGATGGGGTTTAAAGCGAAAGGTGCAGAGTTTGAATGTCAGAGTGAACATAAGCTCTGAGATGCAGGTACATCCAGTTGACGAGTCCCAAATAGGACGAAATGCGCGTTAAATTGGATTCCACTACCAACCACTAGCCATCCTTGGTAGAAAATATGTTAATATTTATTTCATGCCTTTCTACCTGCAATTACTTAATTTTTTTAATCAGCTTTCTAAGATAATAGCTAAATAAATATTACACTTATCCTAAAGTCATTATGTTACAGATATGAATTATGCTATGTTTCATTCGTTTTGCACAGTATGGTTGTTTTCTTACTCACAAAAGCGTATTTTAACAAACAATTATAAACATTTATCATCCTGATATACTCTATCAATAAAACTACATCAGAATATCTATGTAACATGCATCTACTGTGTAGTTATCTGTATAGCTCATCGTGAGATGATGGATAATAATTGTAGTTTGATATTAGCATATTAGAAATGTTGTGGTCTTTAAACTGGATGGATTGATTTCGAAGCATTTATTTCCCGTACAGAATCAAATTAAAGGTCAACAAAATAAGTTGTTAGTTAATCGTAGAGGAATTGTTTTAGATCATGTCTTGAAGTACGCTCTTTAATGATGTTATTCAGAAATGCAATGAAAATTTTACAACCAATCTATCCAGTTCAGAGACTACAACACTAACAGCTCATCATGTTAGGCAGCCTCAGCGATCAACTGGTTATTTCTAGAACATATTACTTATTCAGTTTATTTAGATGGCATAAATAATTCTGTGAAGATATTAAAGATATAATGTTATCAATCTATAGCTGAAGTTAACCCTCAATGATCATGGTTCATAATGATCAATTGATACAATGTGAACAGTAGTCTGTTATACTTACCACGTGATAGACTGTCAAACATTTCAAGTTGGAGGTGAGATTTTAAGCTTAAGATGATGATTTCGATACAGTATTGTTCTGTGAGCTAGTCGCTTTTTCAAGTAGTTTTCGCTGTCATTTTAAATAACATCATCACCATAAACTTCAACACAGAGAATAAATTGCTGATAAAAAATAATCAGAGCTTATACTGATAGTGATGTTGTCTAGAAAGGTGATAAAACGCTTACATTTCAAACCACTTAGCTCAGAGAACTTGACTTTATCAAATTCAGATAAGTGTTGGAAATTAATGACAAACAACAAGGGCTTTCAGTTTATGTAACACTGTTCCATTTACTATCTAGGCTGATAAACCTCCTTTAAAAAGGTGACTGAAGTACAACGATGAAAATTTGTTCGTCGGTAATCTATTTTTCCAGTTTACAAGTTTGTACGTTATGTATCTATTCAACAGTATATTCCAGATCATTAGAATTAACCGACATGATGAAACTTAAACTTCCTAGACAAAAAGGATTAATCTGACCCATAATAAGCAATGGTAAGTACACTAATAAAACTTGCTTTATGTGATATACACTAACTTTGAAACAAAGTCAACAGTTGTATCATCATACTTCTCAGTCAGTCAGTCAGTCACTTAGCTACAACGTACGACCAGGCACATATATGCATCGGTCTAAGTTACCACACCTCCTTAGCACAACAAAATGAACACCAAATTCAATGGTGGTTATATATAAAACAGAGATTGCATATAAGGATATAGTATAGGAAGAAAGATAAAGTTGGTAGAATGAAAGATATTAAGCGATTATAATCTCATAGTTTAAAGGAAGATAGAGAGTGTATACACCTACGTCATTGTGATCGATTCTGAACCATGTCACCCAGAATCTCCAACCATTGGTTACGATAGTCACGCGGACCCCAACCAATTAGTCTGTATCTACCAACATGGCTCAGTCCAGAAGGTAGTGACTTCAAACACTGATGCCACGTTTTGGTTTGACCGCCCCTAGACATGCAAAGAGTTTGATTAGTCTATAATTTCATTAATTTTCCACTTATAACAATATCAATCTTATCAATAGTTAATACGATACCCAAAGACTAGGCATAAAAGTTAGGTTTCCATTGATTAGAGAATGAGTAACCTACATGATAATTTCCTCCGATCGCCTATGACATTTTATTATGTTTGTTTTGTTTGTTTTGAGTTCATATTCTGTATATGAGCATGAAAATTTATTCATCTAACTAATGGAATTATCTTTAATTTCGAATAACTTGGAGGGGGAGAGGTCTAAGTCACTAGTACAATCTCATGTATATGCATCACTTATCCAACTGATGATATCATTTCGTTGATCTATTGATTAACATTCTATTTATTGATTTTTAATAATCAAAAATTTCATCTGATCAAATCACAGAAATCTTCCTCTATGATATTAGTATAACAATTATTCAGTTAAATTCCATTTTGTATTGTTTACTTTATACAAGTAAACAATACAACACAATACATTAAGAGTACAAGATACTCGTAAGTTACTAGTATTTGACCACAGATGACTTAGAACTATTGCACGCATTTGCTGGGATCACCGGGTAAGTAATAGTGAGGTTAGACGCAGGGTATTAGGGAATGATGATAAATCGGTTGATGAAGTTATGAATCTTCATCGACTGAGATGGTTGGGTCACGTGTTATGTATGCCTGAACACCGATTACCACGACGCATAATGTTGACTAATATTGCAGATGATTGGAAGAAAGTTAGGGTCGGCCAAATCAAAACGTAGCATCAATGCTTGAACTCATTAACTTCTAGTCTGAGCCATGTTGGTAGATGTAGTCTACTAGATTCGGTTCCGTATGACTATCGTAACCAATGATTGGGGACTGTAGGTGACATAACTCAGAATTGATCACAATGACGTAGGTGTATACATTCTCTATCTTCCTTTAAACTATGAGATTATAATCGCTTCATATCTTTCTTTCTACAAACTAATTCTTTCTTATTGTACTATTTCCCGATATGCAATCTTTATTTTATATATTACTACCATTGAAGTAGCTGCTTCTATGAATTTGATGTTCATTTTGTTGTGCTAAGGAGGTGTAGTAACTTAGACCGATGCATATATATGCCTGGTCGTACATTGTAGCTGACTGACTGTATTTTCCTATTGATGTTTAAGACTGCAATTGATCAGTCGCTTATTGACATATCTACATTCTGTGAAAATTGCTTTGATGATGCCTCAAATCATACACATGTTCTGAATGCCACTTCTAGTTATTATTCATTTCTGTTTATAATTAACTAGTTAGTTTTAATAAAGAAAACAACTTACCTTAGTATTGTTATTACTTCTTAATGATATAATTCCATTATATTCTGAATTTGTTGAATGATCAATACACATAATTAGTAAAAAATAAAAAACACAAAATAATACAATTCCAGCAACTATTGAATAAGGTATTACAGCATTGACAATAACTAATTCAGTTGAATTATCTTGATTAGTTGTAATATTTGTTGCTAAGGCATGGTGATTATTATCAGTAGTAGTAGTAGTAGTAGTAGTATTAGTATTATTTAGAGTTGAAGGAATTGTAAATGGTTTCACCAATAAAGGAGCTAATGCTGCTCCCATACCATAACCGGAATGCATTAAACTAAATGGTCCAGCTGCTTTCTCTTCCCAAACAGAAGCAAGTAATGGATTACCGCCTATAATAAAAGGAAAGAAACACAAACACACACAATCACAACAACAATTTCCATGTTAATTACAGGAAATAAAAAAAAGTTTCAAAAACATTGTTGTTTTACGTCTTTCTTAAAGAGAATGATGCACACTGCTAAAGAGTTCCACAATAAGAAGAAACGGCCGTGCAGTGCTTCCAGGTTTTCTATCTTGGTCACTTGACTCATGATCTCAACTATTGAAATTACTAGAATCTTCACAAAACTCCTGATACTAATCAACATATGCTCATTAGTGACTGGCTTCAAGAGGTATATTCTGGAGTTCTAGTGAGAAGTAGCGACCAGTGAAGTTCAACCAACTCTGTTGTGAGATAGTAACTCACTGAAGACAATGGTGGATGTGTCACTCAATTTCGTTGATTAGTTGAAGTTAAACATTAACACCGTTGGATGCCGACTCAGTGGTCTAGTTGGTTAAGCGCCTGACACGAGACTGATAGGTCTTGGATTCGAATCTCACTAGCGGACTTGTGGACGTGCACTTCTGAGGAGTCTCATACTAGTACGAAACGGCCTTTCAGTGCTACCAGTTTTTCCATGGTGGTCCAACTTCAAATGACTGATGATCTCAACTATTGAAAGAGAATGATTGTAAAGAACCAGAAAATACAACAAATGAAATTTTCGGCATAAAAAAACAAGATTTCCTAATTAAACAGATAACAGCAGTGATCGTAAGTTTTAAAAATGATAACTTGGTAACTATAGTTTATTTTTGTAACCATAGATCATAAAATGAATTATTTTTTGTGGTTAACAACTGTCAACCAATATCAATGTCAGAATATTCAATACGAACGTCAAAACAGTTCCACTGTATGGAGTTGAAACTTGGACAACTACAACAACCATCATCGAACATGTACAAGGATTTATAAATAGTTGTCTATGCAAGATACTTAACATCCATTGGCCGCATACCATCAAAAACAGTTTACTGTAAGAGAGAACAAACCAGATTCCGGATGAAGAGGAAATGAGGGAAAGACGATGAAAATGGATAGAACATAAAAACTGCGTCATAAGGCATGCACTAACTTGGAATCATGAAGGGAATTTGAAAAGAGGTAAACAAAAGAACACATTACGTCAGGAAATAGAATTAGATATGAAAAGAATGAATAACAACTTGAAAGAGCTAAAAAGGATTGCCCGGGACAGGGTTGGATGGAGATTGTTGGTAGGCAACCTATGCTCGTCCACTAGGGGTAACAGACGTAAGTAAATAAGTAAGATCATAAAGTGAATAACCACAAATTACAAAATATCTATCAGAAAAATAAGACATTAATATTGAACACATTTCCTAATATTGGAAATCAATAATTGACTGAAGACCTAGTGCTTATCAATACAGAAGTATGTTATAGATTGTAGTGTATAACAAGTTGATGAGAATAACCAATTGATTGTTTAATACACAATTATACAGTCGTCGTTTAGTAAAATGTGAAAGTTAACACAACAAATTCATGATTTGCACATCTAGTGAGACTATAATTCATGAAAGAACCATTCAGATTTAGTGTAATTGATTTTGGATTTGGGGGCAAAATTCATTTACCTAATTGTCCAAACAACGTCTTGACACTTTAATCGATGTCAGTTTGTGAGTAAAAAACCGTAAATCTAATCCCTAATCTTAATCATCATTTGTAAATTATAACTTTAATTCCTCACACAAATTTATAACCTTCATTTAGCAGCCCTAGTCAGTAGGTAGACACACTCAAGCTTACAAATTCATGAAGTCACTGATAAGTGGACTGTGTGAGCCATGTTAGTAGGTGTAGACTACCTGGTTCAAATCCACAAGACGATAGCAACTAATGGTTAAAAACATTGAATGACATCCACTCTTTGTGTTCTCCCAAATTCTATTCTTCTGAGTTCTTCCTGTTCCTTTTTTCTCTTTCCAAATTTATTTCACTGGATTATACTCCTTGAATAACATCTTCAAACCCTAATCTTTCCGACTACTGCTTATACGTTTATAACCTCTACCACTATGGGATTTGAACTGACAATTGTATCTGTGTGCTAATATGGTATGGCAACTTGAATTGATATACATACAAAGTTCTACGTTGTTGCTGACTGAATGACTGACTCAAGATTACTTTGGCGTCGCTCAAAGGTCGTTCATAATTTATAGTCTCACCGAGTCCCATTATCTCTTCCCTAGATTTCAATCTTCTGTTCGCCGACATTTAATTTCTGACTGGTGTTTAGATATTATCAAAAGGGGATTTTGTGAAGATTTTTGTAATTCAATAATTGAGTTCATGAGTCAATTAATGCTAGACCACTATGAAAAACTTGATACTTTTCAAAATTCCTGGATTCGAACTCAAGAGCTATCGATCTCACAAGCGAAGGCTTCATATCTAAACTACTGAACTGGCATCCAATGGTGTTAATGTCTAACTTCAACTAATCCACATAATTAAGCCATCGTTTATCATTATTTACATACTACTTATATATGCAAACATTAGTAGTATACACCGCATTTGTACATCGCTTACTTACAATGAAACTTAACATTTTCTTTTCATCTTTTGACAGTACTAACGGTATTATTTCACTAAATTATTCTTCTATGTATTTTTTTTTCCGAAATTCAATCATATTTAACTCATCATTTAGTATTACAAATACAATAAGATAATTGTAAATGTATATATCAATATACAATGAAAAAGTTTAGTTAACGTCATGAAATGTAATGTGATTCTTAATAAGAAAAAGAAGAAAAAAATCAGTACCAAATATCAAGCATAGTATAGTCACGATATCAAGATTGATCGTTTGAAGAGTTTTGGGGGGGGGGCGGAATCTGACTCTAGTGAGATCGTTTCGGATTGCTATCGTCATTCCTTGTTTATAACTATCGCGTTAGTGAATAAAAGAATTAAGTAAGTCAAGTAATGAGAATGGATGCTTTGGATATGTATACTTTGTACACTCGTTGATTGGAACATCGCATACACACGAACAAATGCAGATAAAGAAAGCCAGCGTAGCAGCAGTCTCTGCATCAGTAGGCCTCAAAATACACAAGGGGAAAACCAAAGTTCTCAAATACAACATGGGGAACAGCAATTCAATCACTCTTGATGGCGAAACTCTGGAAGATTTAGAATCCTTCACATTCCTGGGAAGCATCATCGATGAACAAGGAGGATCAGATGAAGACGTAAAGGTGAGTATTGGCAAAGCGAGGGCAGCCTCCCTTCAATTGAAGAACATATGGAACTCAAAACAACTGTTTCTCAACCAATATCAAAGTCAGAATCATCAATACGAACGTCAAAGCAGTTCTACTGTATGGAGCTGAAACTTGGAGAACTACAACAACCACCATCAAGAAGGTACAAGTATTCATAAATAGCTGTCTACGCAAGATACTCAACATCCAACATTGGCCGGATACCATCAACAACAGCCTTCGGTGGGAAAGAACAAACCGAATTCCAACTGAAGAGGAAATTAGAAAAAGACGATGAAAATCAATAAAACATACAAACTGCATCACGAGGCAAGCCCTAAATTGGAATCGTGAAGGGAAGCGGAAAAGTGGAGAACCAAAGAACATATTACGTCGGCGAATAGAAGCAGATATGAAAAGGATGATTAAGAACTGGAAAGATCTGGAAAGGATTGTCCAGGACAGAGTTGGATGGAGAATGCTGGTGGTGGGCCTATGCTCCTTCACGAGGAGTAACAGGCGTAAGTAATTAAGTAAGTTGATTGGAACAGATAATCAGAGAATCGCAACGAATGAAACTGTGAGAAGAGAGTGAAGCGAAATAACGTACAGTGTAGAAGGCATATAAGCCAACTTCTTTTTAGTCAATCGATAATCCTTATTTATAGTCACACGGAATTAAGCTACAGACATGTGATGAATAATGGGATAAAAAGGGCACACACAAATATGCACTCATATAAAAGCAGTCAAGGTTGATAATTAACAAGGTTAAAACGTAACTCAAGACGAATGAATAAATTGACCTGTCCAGAAGCTACAAGAAGTTATGTGGTCTTAACATAGTAACCGACACTACAAGTTACTCATCATTCTCTTAATCTTGAAATTATACTATTCTTATCATATTTTCTTATATACAATTTAAATTAATAAACTATATTTATAATTATCAATTTATGTATTGTGGAGATTGTCAAGTTTTTGATTAAGATCATGAACCAATTGATGTTAGACCACCATTTGAAACCTGAAAGCACTGGACGGCCGTTTAGTCCTATTGTGCGACTCCTCAGCAGTGCGCATCCACGATCGCGCTCACGGGATTGTTTAGGACATAGTTCGATGAAGAATGTTGATGGATGATTTATGCTCTTCCATGCGAGGTAACAAACTATTTAATGAATAAATGAGGTATAGAAACAAGAAAGAATGGTTACAAAATAAATGTTTATTCTTTGATGAATTAAGCTGCAAAATTGTAAATATATTGTGTGATATCCTGATGAGAATAATGAATGGTCACTTTTGGAATCCATTTATGGATCAATATTTTTATTGTATAATTGTTACATAACTAAATTATTCATAATCATGTTCCTCTTATTATGAGCTTTAGTTTGACCTATAAACTATTATTATACCATTTACCATTGTTGAGTAATGCCCGGTCTATCAATTACTATCTCCCACATTCACAGTCACTTGTATTGATGTCGTTTCCTATTTTATGGTACGATGTTGATTCTAGAACATCCAGTACAGCCGAATTGATATATCAATCAATTCATAAGATGTTTCATAACTGGAAACATTTTGAATGCAGGTCTACATCAATCAAAACACATTCAGAGTCTAATTTATCATCCGGGAATCAAACCCAGAAAGTTCGATCTCATGGAGAACGCTTAAGCTCTAGAGGATTGGTTAGACCTCCAACGGTCATTTTGTTGAATTTCATGTTTGGTCTTCGAAGGTGAATTATAAATGTTATCCAGTAAATATTGATGCCAGTTGAAATGCCATTGAAAACACGAAAACACTGAATAGCTATTTCTTAGTATGATATAGCAGTTAGTACACATGATGGATTTAATAAAACCTATGAACTAAAATAAGCCGCCAAAAGGCAGCGCCAGTAAAACTATAATTGTGTACACAGATGTGGTTTAATTGTAGATGAGTTCCCTAAGTTAATTTGGGAAGCCTTAATTGATAAAATTGAGATATATGGGGAATTAAACGGTTATGAACTAAAGGAAGCTGGGGACGTGTACTACTGAATTCCAACCAAATGGTTTCATGATTAAGCCCTCGTCCCATGTTTATCAATGCCTGGTGAGGTTGTGGAAGTGCACAACTGAATTGTTCAACATAGAGTTTTCCCAGTCTCATCTATTTTTCAAAGGTATTTATATATTACTGAGTTAATGATTGATATGCCATAATAGAAATGAATAGATCCTTTACCAAATTAAAATTTACTATCAAAGTGAATAAACTACTATCAAATGTGAGCTGGTGAAGATTCGCAGCTCAGGTGGATGATTTTGATGAAGTTTTGTTCATTAAGCTGGATGGTTTAGTCGTGGAGCTTTCATCGTTCTTCTGAACGAAATCATCAGCACAAAGTTCTACCTGATGAAAGCTCCACGACCAATCCATCTAGCTCACAGAACAAATCTCCATCAAAAAAATACTATCAAATGTTTATATCTCAAAAAGTTATCATAAACTGTAAGAAAATATATAAAGATATAAAGATTATACAAAATGAAGAATATTCGACCAAATAACTTCATTATCAGGCTCTAGGTTTATAAGTCCATAATTATAGTGATATTTTACAAACATCAATATACGGTTGTGAACAGGAAACCCTGGAGCTAGGTTTCGTGCTACTTGGCACTCGTTAGAATGGTGCACTTATAATCGTCAGGGAAGTGATGTTCCCTAACGGATTCGATCCCGTGTCGCCCAAATCCACAGTCAGAGACGTTACCACTGAGCTATCCGGGACGCAAAGGCCAAATAAGATATGTATTAATGAAATGGACAATGTTATCTGTTGAAAATGATCGACGTTTGCATCTGTTACGAAACATACTTCAATTCATGTGCATTGGAGATGATGGATGTGAAAGTTAAGGTAGAGGCAATCAAAAAAACGAAGGGGGTAAGAGGTTTATAATATTCACTTTAGGTATTCGATGATTCAGCCGTAGGCCAAGGTAAACATTAAGGCTGAATATACCTTTTCTGGATACATAAGTTTGGTTTTCTGGAAATGATCCAGATGTCTTCTGCTATGTACAGTAACCGTAATCTAACTCCTTGAGATAGATTTTTTGAAACTTGATACAAAACAAAAAAAGCTTTCTCTACTTTGATATGATGTTCACTATCTATTAAGTGAGAAAGAATAGTGTTGTTGATCGTTTTAGTAACTCTTTTTCCCAACCATACTAGTACATCTTCACGAACACGCAAGGATAAAGCCCTCTGAGTACAATCTATGTAACTAGCCCCACATGAGCAGTTGGAATGGTATACACACATGGAGGAGCCTATCTTCGGTAACCTATCATTAATTAGTTGTGTAAATACTGGTTTAGTTGAGAAAATTATATGTAGCTTAGCAGCATGAAACGTCTATTCAATAGACCTTTTAAGTCAATTTGTTAAAATATCACCCGCTACGTCCCCATTAAAGTCCAGTATCAGATATAGGGTATTTTTTTACTGACTGAGTCATAATTTCATTTTTTAAAAATTAACTTAAAGTAATTCATGCAGAATCTTTAATACGAACGCCAAAACAGTTCTACTGTATGGAGCTGAAACTTGGACAACTACAACAACCACCATCAAGAAGGTACAAGTATTCATAAATAGCTGTCTACGCAAGATACTCAACATCCAACATTGGCCGGATACCATCAACAACAGCCTTCAGTGGGAAAGAACAAACCGAATTCCAACTGAAGAGGAAATTAGAAAAAGACGATGAAAATGAATAAAACATACAAACTGCATCACGAGGCATGCACTAACTTGGAATCATAAAGGGAAGTGGGAAAGAGGAAAACCAAAGAACAATTTGCAACAACAAATCAGTGGAGAAAAAAATCAGGAAGAAACGCTGGAAGTGGATAGTACACACTGAGAGGAAAGCACCAAACTGCATCACAAGACAATCCCTCACATGGAATTCTCAAGGTCGGAGGAGGAGGAGAAAAAGACCAAAGAACATATTACGCCGGTGAACAGAAATAGACATGAGAAAAATGAATAAGGATTGGATGGAACTAGAAAAGAAGGCCCAGGACAAAGTGTGTTGGAGAGTGCTGGTGGGCAGCTTATGCCCCTCCACAAGGAGTAACAGACGTCAATAAGTAAGTATGTATGTATGTATGTATGTAATTCATTTTTTATATTAAACTACATGATTAATTTACTTTAACAATTTATCATAATATTACTACTTACTTGTTGTTAAGAGACCATGTGAGAAACCAGCTATAAATAATATAATTGTTAATAGTATTATATTAATACACCATGGTATAATTAATGTTGTTATAGCACCAATTATTAATGATAATATAATAAATAGAATACGTAATGATTTATAACGATCTGATAATATTCCACCAATAAATGAACCAATTAATAAACCAATTGCTCTTGTTGATAAAGCCATACCAATTTGTTCATAATTCGATTTTGTATTATACATAAGTGTAGGTAATGTTGGACCTAATATTTCACTATATAATCCCTGAAAATAATAATAATAATAATGATAATAATAATTATAATAATAATAATAATAATAATAATAATAATAATAATAATAGTAATAGTAACAATAATAATAGTAATAATAATATAATAATAATAATAATAATAATAATAATAGTAATGGTAATAATAATAATGGTAATAGTAATAGCAACAATAATAATAGTAATGGTAATAATAATAACAATAATAATAATAATAGTAACAATAATAATAATAGTAGTAATGATAATAATAATAATAATAGTAATAGTAATAGAAACAATAATAATAGTAATGGTAATAATAATAATGACAATAATATAAAAAAGAGCAATAACAAAGAATGGTGCAGAATGATAAATGGATTCATTTTATTTTCTTATGTTCTCATCAGCTAATTACAAACTAAAATATTTAAAATTCAACGTTATTACAGATATTGACATACTTGTACATAAGAGGGTGATGAAGGATGAATATATGTGTGTATCATGATGTAGTCTACGTCTACTATTGTCATCAGTGAGTTGATATCTCACAATAGACTTGGTTGAACTCTACTTGTAACGGCTTTTCACTAGGACTTCAGGAGTGTCTCTTGAAGTCAGTGACTAGTGAACAGATGATTATTATCAGAAGGGAGTTTTGTGGAGATTTTAGAAATTTTACTGGTTAAAATCATAAGTCAATGGAAGCTGGACCTGGAAGCACTGGACGGCCGTTTCGTCCTGCTGTTTGAAGTTATACATTAACACCGTTGGATGCTGGCCGACTCAGTGGTCTAATGGTTAAGCAGTTGTGCGCGAGACTGATAGGTTCTGGGTTTGAATCTCATGGGAGAGGGCGGGATCGTGGCATGCTCACTACTGAGGAGTCCCAGTACTTCCAGGTTTTCCATGGTAATCTAGCTTCAATTGACTCATGATTTCAACTTGCGAAATTTTTAAAATCACCACAAAACTCTCTTCTGATAATATACGAAATTATTAAACCAATTAAGGTAGTTTATGAGTGAATGATGATAACAATGAAAACGATTACATAATAGATGAAAAGTACAAATTAGTAATGTGATGACAGATGTACTAGTTGTGATAAGAATAAGAATAATAATGGCTTAAATCCGTGTTACATAATCGGAAATAGGTCAGTGATTAGAAAAAATATATTGACTCTGAAATTACATTCATAGAAAGATTATAAGATTACGTCATAAGAAGTGTTCAGATAATTAGACCGTGAGACTCATATTTAAAAGACTAATATTTGAACGAAGAATATTCTCTTTTTCGATAAATTCTCTTCAGGTTCCACCATTCATCATATCCAAATGAATAATGCGAAAAATGGTCAGGTTAAGGGTAAAGTACATCGTTTAAAGCATGTGAACTGTAGGATTATGATAAACAAAATACAATAAAATTGCTCATGTTGATATGAGTAGAATAAAATGTTAACTTGAATCTGTGTATATGTTAAGTGAAATTGTTAAGATCCATGATCCGAATAAATATTGGGTCTAATAGGGTGAATGAGAAATAATAGTGCAATTACCATTCGATCAAATAAGCAAGACGTAATAAAGAGGGAAGAATGCAAAGTGAATGAATCATGTATAGGGGAGTTTAGTAATGATCTTTAACCAATAATACGAATAATAATAATAACACAAAGATTTATGAATAAATATAACAGAGAAAATTACATTTGACCACAAAAGGTTATAAGTACAATAGTCAAATTAGGTCATTCAATAGTTAAGATAACGATTGATTAATTGGCGTTAATGTTGGCCAGGGGAGGAGAAGTGGTTGAAGATATACCTTCTATAGTCATAGCAAAGGTTTCTTCATCCGGACTTTCAGTCTGACCAGTTTGGGCAAAAAATTACTGACCTTATAAATAATTGAAAAAGATTGGTTTACACTGGCACTATGACCAGTTTGTACTAAATGGGCTGATATTGAGCTGTACACTTTCTTCATCAAACCTTTTTTAAGCCACGCTGGAAGGTGTTTACGGGGACGAAAATGTAAATTCTTAGAACTTCGACCAATATAACTCGCTCCACAGGAGCAGTCGAACTGATAAATGCAAAATGAGGTGGTCATTCTAGGTAATTCATCTTTTAATCTCGGTGTAACCATTGGGCGCGTAGAAAACACTAATTGCTATGTGTAAGAGACGAGATCGAACACCATGAGGAAAACTAGTGAGAATACGATAAATAACTTGAAATGACTTGTTTCTGTCCACTATATGACGGCTATCGATCAAGTGTGATAGAACTGAGCTGTGTATTATCTTGACATTACCTTTTCCTAATCATGAAGGGAGAATATTCACTAACTCTTTGGTTCAGTTGTCTGGTAGTGCACCCAATTTAAGATGAATCAACATTAAACACAGACTATACAATTGATTGGACAGCACCCGAAAATTAAAGCTAAGTTAATAGAATAACATGAAATATAGATTTTAAAAAGAGCAAGAACAAAGATTGATGCAAAACAATACATGGATTCATTTGATTCCGTTAGGTTCTCATCAGCTACTTGCAACCTAAAATCAATGTTATTACATATATTAACATACGTATACATAAAAGGGTGATGAAGGATGAATATATGTGTATCATGATGTAACGAAGATTCTGATAGAGTTAATCAGGTTATAAAATTTTGTCTCGAATAAATAAAGTTTGGGAGGGAAACTTCAGAAAGTCCTGGAATAATGAATGACGTAATAAATAAAAGGGGGGTTTATTATTACCAAGGCAAAAAAAGATTTAATACTGTTTCTTTTTGTAGATATAAATCTGGTTTTAGACATTTGAATGCTATCGTTTCGGCAAATTTCAAAATGTTGGTGTTTGATTGTATGTTAATCAACTTAAAGAAGTTCAATGTATCGACTTTATGTCCTGTGTCAAGACGATGTCTTGCAACAGCGCTGCTGAATGCTTTTAGTTCGTTTGATCTCAAACCCTACGGAATATGTTCTTTGAATCGGACATAGGTTACATCATGATACACATATATATTCATCCTTCATTACCCTCTGATGTATAAGTATGTCAATATCTGTAATAACGTTGAATTTTAAATATTTCAGATTGCAAGTAACTGATGAAATCCTAACGAAATCAAATGAATCCATGTATTATTCTCCATCAATTATTGTTCTTGCTCTCTTTAAAATAATAAAGGGAACTATGTGTATAAAATAATATAAAATATGGATCAGTTTTTTTTTCTTTTTTCTTTTTTACTACAATAACGAAAAGTAGGATCGTAAAATATTTGGTTTCAAATGTTTGGATAGTTTTGTTCTCTTTAATTTATCGATTGATTTGCTTCTTTGTTTGTATAAAAAAATGAATATATATGGACAAGAAATCAATCAATCAGTTAGTTAGTTAGTTAGTTAGTGAGTTAGTGAGTTAGTGAGTTAGTGAGTGAGTGAGTTAGTTAGTGAGTTAGTTAGTTAGTTAGTTAGTTAGTTAGTTAGTTAGTTAGTTAGTTAGTTAGTTAGTTAGTTAGTGAGTTAGTTAGTTAGTTAGTTAGTTAGTTAGTTAGTTAGTTAGTTAGTTAGTTAGTTAGTTAGTTAGTTAGTTAGTTAGTGAGTTAGTTAGTTAGTTAGTTAGTTAGTTAGTTAGTTAGTTAGTTAGTTAGTTAGTTAGTTAGTTAGTTAGTTAGTTAGTTAGTGAGTTAGTGAGTGAGTGAGTTAGTTAGTGAGTTAGTTAGTTAGTTAGTTAGTTAGTTAGTTAGTTAGTGAGTTAGTGAGTTAGTGAGTGAGTGAGTGAGTGAGTTAGTTAGTGAGTTAGTTAGTTAGTTAGTTAGTTAGTTAGTTAGTTAGTTAGTTAGTTAGTTAGTTAGTGAGTTAGTGAGTAAGTGAGTTAGTTAGTGAGTTAGTTAGTTAGTTAGTTAGTTAGTTAGTTAGTTAGTTAGTTAGTTAGTTAGTTAGTTAGTTAGTTAGTTAGTTAGTTAGTTAGTTAGTTAGTTAGTTAGTTAGTTAGTTAGTGAGTTAGTTAGTTAGTTAGTTAGTTAGTTAGTTAGTTAGTTAGTTAGTTAGTTAGTTAGTTAGTTAGTTAGTGAGTTAGTGAGTGAGTGAGTTAGTTAGTGAGTTAGTTAGTTAGTTAGTTAGTTAGTTAGTTAGTTAGTTAGTGAGTTAGTGAGTTAGTGAGTTAGTGAGTTAGTGAGTTAGTGAGTGAGTGAGTTAGTTAGTGAGTTAGTTAGTTAGTTAGTTAGTTAGTTAGTTAGTTAGTTAGTTAGTTAGTTAGTTAGTTAGTTAGTTAGTTAGTTAGTTAGTTAGTTAGTTAGTTAGTTAGTGAGTTAGTTAGTTAGTTAGTTAGTTAGTTAGTTAGTTAGTTAGTGAGTTAGTGAGTGAGTGAGTTAGTTAGTGAGTTAGTTAGTTAGTTAGTTAGTTAGTTAGTTAGTTAGTTAGTTAGTTAGTTAGTTAGTTAGTTAGTTAGTTAGTTAGTTAGTTAGTTAGTTAGTTAGTTAGTTAGTTAGTTAGTTAGTTAGTTAGTTAGTTAGTTAGTTAGTTAGTTAGTTAGTTAGTTAGTTAGTTAGTTAGTTAGTTAGTTAGTTAGTTAGTTAGTTAGTTAGTTAGTTAGTTAGTTAGTTAGTTAGTTAGTTAGTTAGTTAGTTAGTTAGTTAGTTAGTTAGTTAGTTAGTTAGTTAGTTAGTTAGTTAGTTAGTTAGTTAGTTAGTTAGTTAGTTAGTTAGTTAGTTAGTTAGTTAGTTAGTTAGTTAGTTAGTTAGTTAGTTAGTTAGTTAGTTAGTTAGTTAGTTAGTTAGTTAGTTAGTTAGTTAGTTAGTTAGTTAGTTAGTTAGTTAGTTAGTTAGTTAGTTAGTTAGTTAGTTAGTTAGTTACAACGTAGAACTAAGCACATTTATATGCATCGGTCCAAGTTGTCATACTTTATTAGCATAACATAATGAACATCGAATCCATAGAAATAGTTATTTCAATGATCAGTCAGTCAACGTA